GGTTTGATTCCCCACTCCTCCACTTGCACCTGCTGGGTGACCTTGGGCAAGACATAGTTCTGGCAGAGCTGTTCTTGAAAGAGCAGTTCTCGAAAACAGCTCTCTCGGCCCCACCCACCTCACAGGGTGTCTGTTGTGGGGAGGGGAAGGGAAAGGAGTTTGTAAGCTGCTCTGAGACTCCTTTGGGTAGTGAAGGGCGGGGTAGAAATCCAATCTCTTTTCTTCTTCTTCTTCCTAGCAAGTGTACCCAGCATGTGAGCCTGCTTTGCGTGCACACCCACGGCGGAGGGAAGGAGTCAACACTCTCCCAGTGTCGTCATTCCATTTGGGCCACTGGTAATTAGAAGGGTTCACCTGTCCCTATGAACTGCCACTTCCAGGACCCTGTGTTCAACTCAACATGTCTGAGTGGAATAAGCAGATTATTGCTTTGGGCAGGTAGGACAAACATTTGCTGGAATCCCTTATTAAAAAGACTAGAAAGGACTCAAAGGCACTACATCTCCCCAGCAAGCATTCACATCACTGGATCGCATTCAAAGGGACAAGTAGCCAAGCTGCCCCGGAATCCTCGGCTATACAGGAAGACGTCCGTCGGGAGTGCTTATAAAACCGTTTAAAAAAGGAACCCACACACTAGATTTTCCAAAACAGTCACTAAAAAAAAATAAGACAACAACATGAGGTTCTTCAAAGCCCAACCATAATGGATGCTCTCATTATTCGAGATATGCATAGTTGATACCAAAAAAAAAAAGAAGAAGGAGAAAAGCTACAGTGTGAGGACTTCAAAACCACAAGTAGTGTGTGCGCATGCCTCATTGGTACTAGAGGAATTCGGGGCAATGGAAGCACAGTTATCATGTAGTTCAGAGAGCACAGGAGACGTGTCCGTAATAGGAGAGAAACCTCCAGGAAAACAGCCAAGGCTATCCCTGGGGGAATGCTTCTGCTACGTTAGTTTCTCTGGCAAGATCAGGGAGGTGAACCCGCAAATTCACTGCCCACCTCTGAGCCCTTGAAGTTGAACTGTATTGACGGAGGAACAGCATCCCCTGTGGTCACCGTTGCAGGGCTCTTTTTGTAGCAGGTACTCATTTGCATATTAAGTGACACACCCCCTAATGTGGCCAATCCTCCAAGAGATTACAGTAGCTCCTGTAAAAAGAGCTCTGTAAGCTCTTGGAGGATTGGCTACATTAGGGGTGTGTGGCCTAATATGCAAAGGAGTTCCTGCTACAAAAAGAGCCGACTGTGTTACCAACTTGGGCCCTCGTAGAAAAGACTCCCCAGTAGCCCCAGGTGGCTACTAAAATCCCCCCTCCACCCCCCAACCCTGCCTCAACCTGTCTTGTTAACAGCAGATGGCACATTTAGAGACTATCCCACTCCCACCCGTCCCTAGATCATTAAATCATCTTCATATTGAACTTCCTGGCGCCCCCCTGGCCTGCTGTGGTGGTTGGGCCATCCACCTTGCGGAAAGAGTATTCCACAGAGAAGTTGTTCTTATGCTGCCCGCGCCCCCGGCTCCAGACAAAAAGGAGGAGGAAGCAAAAGAGGACCACGCCCAGGAAGGTGATGCAGCCCATGGCCGTGGACACCAAGATGGTTTTGAGGTCCAACGTGAACTTTAAGAAGACGTGCGTGTCGTTGTGGAAAGTGTCGTTGAACTCACTGAGGTACAAGGTCCTGTTTGCATAGAGGGAGCCATCGACGGAGTGCCCCTTGACCGTCAATGTGGCAAAGTATGTGTCGTTGCCCCCCGCGTTACTGGCAATGCAAATGTAGGTGCCACTGTCTTGGACCTGGGCGTAGCGGATTTCTAACGTCCCACTCGGCAGGACGGTGGCTCGCCCAGCACTCTTGGTGGTGATCATTCTGTGCTGAGGGGACACCCAGATAATCGATGGGAGGGGCTCCCCATCAGCCCGGCAGAGAAAGGACACCGACTGCCCCTCGTAAGCGGTAATGTGCTGGAGCTTTCGGTCCCTTATTTGAGGCTTTTGGCAAGTGAAGTATTCAAAGAGGACAGAGTCTGGGAAATCTTGCAGGGCGTTGCCCTGTATCTCAGGCGGCGAGGAGCACATCGGCGGTTGTCCGTCAAAGTTCAGCGTCTTGCGGCGCTGAAGGATCCAGAGGAGACGGCAGTCGCACACTAAAGGGTTCCGGTCTACTCGGAGCGTTTCCAGCGTGTTCACAGAGTGGAAGGTGCTTTCTTCCAAAGTGGACAGGAAGTTGTTGGACAGGTTGACGAGGCGAAGCTGCCTCAAGCCAAACAGCGCCTGAGGTTCGACCGAGACCAAAAGGGCACCCACCATGTGGAGCTCTCTAAGCCGTATTAGATCCTTGAAAGCCCCCTTGGCCACAGTGCTGATGGGGTTGTAGGATAAGTTAAGGTACATGAGATGCACCAAGTTCCTCAAGGCAGCTGTGGGCACCACTGTGATATTGGTGTACGTTATGGAAAGGAACGTGAGGTTTAATCCCTGGAAGCCGTTTGGGGAAACGTCCTCTAGGAGCGGCAAGTTCTCAATCTCCAGCTGCCAAAGGTTATAAAGCTTCTTAAAGTTCTGATCGTCCACTGAGGCGATGCTGAGGTGTCGGAGGCGGAGGACCTCTAGGTTTTGGAGGCGTGAGAGAGATTCGGCAGATATGCCGGTCAGGTTACATTTCTCTATGGTCAGCTGCTGAAGGCTGACTAGGCCAGAGAAAGCCTTTCGGGAAATATACACCAAGTCATTGTCTCCCACCTCCAGGTTCTTCAGATTCCTCAGGTCTTGAAACATGTAGTCCAAAAGGATGACCAGTTTGTTCTCACTTATGTCCAGAAGAGTGAGATTGGCTAGTTTGTTGAAGACACCCATCGGGATCAGCTTGAGCTGATTGCCACGCAACCGCAGGGTCTGCAGGTTCAGGAGGTTACTGAAAGCCCCTGGTTCCACATTCGTGATGACGTTCTCACTGAAGTCTAGCTCCTCCAGCAGAGGGTACGGGGACAAGTCCCCTGAATTCAGGCAGCGTATGCGGTTTTTGTTGAGCTCCAGGATCTTCGTTTCAGTCGGTATCCCCTCAGGTATAGAGGTGAAGCGCTTGCGATGGCAGATGACCGACTTGATCTGAGGGACGCACTCACAACGAGCTGGGCAAGCGGCAACCGGGGCAGTGCTGAGGAGAACACAATGGAGGACCAGGACCAGAAGACAACATGTCATTGTGTGGTGCATTGTCTCACGGCTGCACTACCATTTTCTCACACACCTGAAAGACAGAGAGAGAAAGGGGGGGGGGGGAAGACAGCCACTTAAAACCAGTTTATGATAACTTTTTTTTTGCCATCGAGTCACAACCAATGTTCCCGCTAAGCTGTGGAGTCCTGTGAGCAGAAATGCTACTTTGTGAGCTGCTGGCATTAAAGTTGTGAGCGAGCCATTTGGCTACTGCATAAATCAGTTTGCTCTGGAGCCCTCCTTCCTGAGCGAAGGCAAAAACGTGTGCGCTGGAGGCTAAAAAAACTGTGAGCTAGCTCACACTAACTCAGCTTAGAGGGAACACTGGTCACAACCAACTTATGGCGACCCGGGGGGGTCTTCTAGGCAAGAGACATTCAGAGGTGGTCTGCCATTGCCTGCCTCTGCACAGCAGCGCTCATATTCCCCGGTGGTCTCTCATCCAAATACTAACCAGGGCCGACCCAGCTTAGCTTTCAAGACTGGGCTATCCTGGGCTATCCAGGACAGGGCATGATAACACTAGGACCCGGCAAGGTCTCTCTGGTTTCAAAGCCAACAACATATAAGAGCTTCTTTTGCAAAACATATCCAGAGAATCACAGGTTTGGCAGAATGGTGCTGTAGGTATCACCTGGGTCCTTCTTTTCCTAGCCTCTCCGTAGCCGACATTCCGCTGGGAGTCCTGCAATGAATGGAGAACATTAACATAAAAGACTACATGCCACTTGTGCTCAGTTCAACACAAGCTCCAGGCAACACAACTGTGGCAAGAGTTATTTGGATCTTGCCCCGCCCCAGCTCCAGTGGGCCCCTGAAAACATGAAGAAAAAGAGAGTTGTGTCCCCCAAAAGGATTCACAACTGAAGTTAGGGTTGCCAGCTTCCAGGTGGGGGGTGGAATTCTCCTAGAATTACAAGAAGAGGAGATTGGATTTATACCCCGCCCTTCACTTGGGAGTCTCAGAGCGGCTGACAAACTCCTTTCCCTTCCCCTCCCCACAACAGACACCCAGTGAGGTAGGTGGGGCTGAGGGAGCTCTTTCAAGAACTGCCCTTTCAAGGACAGCTCTTGTCAGAACTATGGCTTGCCCAAGGTCATCCAGCAGCTGCAAGTGGAGGAGGGGGGAATCAAACCTGGTTCTCCCAGATTAGAGTCTGCGCACTTAACCATGACACCAAACTCTCACACCAAACTGGCTCCAGACCAGTGTTCTCTCTAAGCTGAGTTAGTGTGAGCTAGCCTCTGGCTCACACATTTTTGGCTTAGCCCAGGAAGGATGGCTCCAGAGCAAACCAATTTACACGGTCACCAAATCGCTCCCTCACAACTTTAATGCCAGTAGCTCACAAAGTAGAATTTTTGCTCACAAGACTCCACAGCTTAGAGGGGGCATCGCTCCAGACTACAGAGATCAGTTCCCCCCGGAGGCCATGGCAGCTTCAGAGGGTGAACCCTATGGCATCGTATCCTCACTGGGCTCCCTCCCCTCCCCAAATTCAAACCTCCCCGGGCACGGCCCCCCGTAAGTCTTCAAGAATTTCCCAAACTGAAGTCCCCGGGCACTGCCCCCCCCCCAAGTCTTCAAGAATTTCCCAAACTGAAGTGGAACAACTGATCAGACTCACAAGGCCGTTGGGAACAACCAGAAAGATGGAATTGAAAAAAAATATTTAAATATTGATACACTTAAAAATGCACCCAGGCCACATTTGGCTTGCCAACTCTGGGTTGGGAAATTGCTGGAGATTTGGGGGCGGAGCCTATTGAGAGATATGTCAGAGTGATAGAGGTAGCAAGCAGTTACTATAGATCAGTTTGATCTGTTTGTCAGACCTAGCTGTCATGCTGGTAGTCATGTAATTACAGCCAGGTGTTTTCTAGCAGGTGTTGCTCTTTAGGGCTTGTTAGAGCTAGTGATTGCATCACCCTGTTAGAGATTGGCTGGGGTTTAGCATAATAGCTATCCGTTTAGTAAGCTGGATGGGGACTTAGTTGTCATAGACTAAGGTGTGACATGCTGTTCAATAGCCTGTAAATATCTCTGTATATATTCACCTTTATAACTATATAAACTCTCTGTGTACCTTCATAACTGGTCAGTCTCCCGCTTCTTATTTACGACACCCAATAGAGCCTGGGGGAGGGCAGGGTTTGGGGAGAGAAGGGAGCTCTGTGGGGATCAATGCTCCCTCTAAGCTGTGGAGTCTTGTGAGCAAAAATTCTACTCTGTGAGCTACTGGCATTAAAGTTGTGAGTGAGCGATTGGGCTACTGCATAAATGAGTTTGCTCTGGAGCCATCCCTTCCTGAGCTGAGACAAAAGTGTGTGAGCTGGAGGCTAAAAAACTGTGAGCTAGCTCACACTAACTCAGCTTAGAGGGGACACTGGTGGGGCTATGACACCCTGGAGTCCACCCACTCAAGCCGCCATTTTCTCCACAGGAACTCATCTCTGTAGTCTGGAGATCAGTTGTGATTCTGGGAGAACTCCACGCCCTACCCGGAAGTTGGCAAGCGTAATCACAATACATTTGAAGCTGTCTTTATACAGAGGCTGATTTCGCACTAGAGCTGCCTCGATGTTGCGCCGCTGTTTGCCCCGATACTACTGGTCAATTTCACACCCGAAGCCGCGGGGCTGCATTTGACCCGCGGCTTCGCCCGATTTCCTCCGCAGTTTCATGCTCCTCCAAATCACGAAACTGCGGGGGAAATCGGGCGAAGCCGCGAGTCAAAATGCAGCCCTGCAGCAGTCAGACCCTTGGTCTATTCTGAGTGGCAACAGTGTCTCCCCAAGTCTCAAGGTGAGGTTTCTACACATCACCGACTACCGCAATTCAGCTAAGGTTCATAGGCTGGCCACTTGACCAGACAAATGTTATTTGACTCTAGATGAACATTATCGACTAATCCTTGAAGCCGAAAAAGCTGCTGTGGAGGCGGCAGCCGTACCTTTTAATTTCATTCAAGCATTATTTGTTGGCGGGGGGGGCTGCTTTCATTCCCCCCCCATGAGACCTGCAGCAGGCAAGGGCAGACCAAGCCCCTATAGAAAGCCCCCCTCCCACCTAGAACTGCAAGCCTATTCAGACAGACTTTTGTTTTTACCAGCTGCTATTACTTTTGCGCCCTGACCTGGATCACTCAACCTAGCCCAATCTTGTCAGATCTCGGAAGCCAAGCAGGGTTGAAGAGCAGGTTTTTACACCCCTCTTTGTTCTACGTTAAGGAGTCTCAAAGTGGCTTAGAAGAAGAAGAGATTGGATTTATACCCCGCCCTTAACTACCCAAAGGAGTCTCAGAGGGGCTTGCAATCTCCTTTCCCTTCCCCCTCCCCACAACAGACACCCCGTGAGGTAAGTGGGGCTGAGAGAGCTCTCTCAAGAACTGCTTGTGAGAGAACAGCTCTGAGAGAACTTGTAACTGACCCAAGGTCACACCAGCAGTTGCATGTGGAGATGTGGGGAATCAAACCCGGTTCTCCCAGATTAGAGTCCGCACTCCTAACCACTACACCAGACTGGCTTACAATTGCCTTCCTGTCCTCTCCCCACAACAGGCCCCTTGTGAGGTAGGTGGGGCTGAGAGAGTTCTGAGAGAAACTGTGACTGGCCCAAGGTCACCCAGCAGGCTTCCTATGGAGGAGTGGGGAATCAAACCTGGTTCTCCAGATTGGAGCCCACTGCTCTTAACCACCACACCACGCTGGGAGACCTCCAAGGAATACCAGGTTCGCGATGCAGAGGCAGGCAATGGCAAACCACCTCAGGACATCTCCGTCTTGAAAACCCTATGGGGGGTCACTACAGGTCAGCTGTGACTTGACAGCACTTTCCACTCCCATCATTACGTTTGCTTTCCCCCCACTTTTTAAAACAGAAGTTTCTAAATATATACTGATCCTACGGTACTTCGGTAAAAGTCAGTGGGAGAAGGGGGGCGGGGGGAGAAACTGGGCAGTGAATCATTCACAGTTACCGAAACCCTAACATCATTACAAGTCAAAATAATCCATTACATTTTTAGTAACAGTCTGCTGCCTGCCACTCTACTCAGCACAGTTTTTTTCCAATCCTTCCTCTAGCCTAAGAAACCTTCTTCCAACTTCAGCAGCTTTTTCCGCCGATGCAATGGCAGGATAATAGCATCGTTTTGCAATAAGAATTAAGTGTGTGTGTGTATGTGTGTGTCATTAGCATTAACATTGTGGCTCTGGAGGAAAGACAGTTCCAAGACAAGCCTAAAAAAGGTAAAGGTAAAGGTTCCCTTGCTTGAAAGCCAGTCGAATCCGACTCTAGGGTTGCGGTGCTCATCTCCGTTTCAAAGCCGAAGAGCCAGCGCTGTCCGAAGACGTTTCCGTGGTCATGTGGCCGGCATGACTAAACACCGAGGCGCACGGAACGCTGTTACCTTCCCACCGAAGTGGTACCTATTTATCTACTTGCAATTTCTTGCTTTCGAACTGCTAGGTTGGCAGGAGCTGGAACTAGAGACGGGAGCTCACCCCATCTTGCGGCACCCGGGTCTCGAACTGCTGAACTACTGACCTTCCACAGCCTGCAGTTCGGCGTCTTAACCACTTGAGCCACCGCAGCTCAAGACAAGCCTAGGAAGTGCCAAACTGGGAGAAGGAAATGGTTGGCTACTACATAAGAAGGGGTGAAAGCAAAGAGAAGGGGGGCAGAGCTTCGAAGGGAGTTCCTGCCTGATTATGCCTGGAGCACCTTCCCATCTCTCTCTCCTTTTCTTCAGGCCTCTCTCAGAGTCCCCCTTTCAGTAGCCGGTGGAGCCCTCTTCCCAATCTTTTAGATCCAGGATTAGAGTTGCCAACTTCCAGGTGCAGCCCAGAGATCCCCCACTATTACAACTCATCCCCGGATGACAGAGATCAGTCCCTTGCGGAGAAAATGGCTGCTTTGGAGGGTGGACTCTGTGGCACTATAGACCAACGGAGGTCTCTCCTCTCCACCAGCCATGACCTCT